TTAGTTGTAAACAAAAATGCTTGTAAGAAGCGAAAGATAAGCCTATATTAGTCAGGAATCATCCGATATATTGAACCAGATATATATACTGTATAAGTGCAACGTTTATTTCACTTCCTATAAATATTATCATATATTTTCTATAACAACAAACATATCATAATACAAAGGAATCTCATTTTTATTACCCAGTTATCTAAATATAAATATATGATATCACATTGTTAGTTAAACATGAAATAAAATATTCTTTCAATCTAATCATATAAATATCATTAATAATGCCAACATTTGTCATATAAAAACAGCCATTGTTAAATGTATTCAATCAACAAAGTTAATCTAACAACATGAATAAATATACTTGCATCGCGATACTCGTTGTAATTATTCCAGGTAATGACACCAATTTAACATTAATGTATTTAGATTTTAATTAAATTAAGTAACTGCTACTTAATATGCTGAATAAATTTAACTTAATCTACATTATCTTTATGCAGTATTTTATATTGCTTTTCATTTTAAGTTTAGGCCAAGTTAGTATGCTAGATAATTGTACATTGTTTAAACTAGCATGATTTTTAAATAATTTTTTCAAATAACAAATTAAAATTATTAAATAATTGCACGCAAAAAATATTATTTCAGTTGTACTCGGTGATATACCATGCTCGGATCCATCAAGCTCAAAGGGCCAGTATGTTGGCGAATCACACGAGTGCGTGGCCCTGGTCAAAGCCAAATGCAGTAACATGCGCAATTTTCCCACATATAATTGGGTGCGAGGCAGAAACGTCAAGGACAATTGCAATTCAATCACGCGATACACTGCGGTGGCCACGTTCGTAGCACCAGGCAACAAATACAAAGGTCACGCCGCCATTTTTGAATCGTGCGACTCGGATGGCGTGTGGGTATGGGATCAATGGGTGGGTCAGCCCACACATCGCCGTCAGATGAGGTTCGGCAACACAGCTCACTGGCCATCGAACGATGGTTCGGCTCTGTATACAGTGGAACGTAAAATGAGCTTGCTACACACATTTATAAACACATTGCTGAATTCTTATAAAATAAATTAGCCTAATAATAGTAAGTGCTAATAATGCTGTGAAATTAAATTTAAAAGTATTATAATTTTAAAATATGTAATTTCTATTAAGAAAGCTATGATAGGGAAAGGCATATTAAATTTATAATAAAACATAAATAATGTTTTAACATTAATTAAAGTAGACTAATACTAGTACACTAAAAATTGTTTACACGTTTCAAAAGCATACGGTTTTTGGTAATTAATTAATAATAAATTAATTAATTTTACAAAACTCCCGATAATTTTCTTACACAACATGTTTGTCCACAACCGCTACGAAATGGTAGCTATACTTGTCGTATGCCTAATGTCGGTGCTAACTATCCACTCGGACGGCACCAACACGTATAACATCGGGACCGACAGCATTGCCCACTTGACTGACCATACTATACAGACGCCCGGTGCCAACACTCACCTATTCGTCGGTAATATTACATCCCCGGCCAGTAATACATCCCTATGGGCTGCCAGTAGGACATCCCCTGACGCTAACAGCTCCCTATTGGCCACAAGAACTGCATCCGAGACCCGAAATACATCCTTAATGGCCGCCAGTATGACATCCGAGGCCGCGAATAGCTACCTATTGAGCGCCGGTATGTCATCGGCAACCGGTAATAGCAATATTACCGCGCAGTCCCTATCGAGGAGTGCATCCCTGGCCACAAATACTAGCCTATCGGAGGCCAGTGATAAACACTTGGCTGCCAGCACCTCCTACTCAGTCGGAAACAACAAAATATACGCCGGATTCAGTGGTGGAGTCTCATCGTACAGGACATCATACCTGTCCCCTAATAATAGACCGCCGATCGGCATCTATACCCCGGTCAGAGCTGTTAACCCAAGCAATAGGCGAAGCAATTTTGCAGCCAATTTTGTACCCTATTTTGGACCCCATTTTGGACCCCAGTTTGGATTCAATTATGGATCAAATTTTGTCCCCCATTATGGACTAGATGTCCCCCATTGGAGCGCATTTGTCCCGAGTTGGAGACGCAGGGTTAGGGTCCCCGTCAACACCGCCGCCCCCGCCCCCGGGCGCCAGTAATGCCCAGAGCACCGGCAGTTTTAGCGATTTGATAATTTTTTCATTTTAAAAATGTTGCTCTGATTTTTAATTATAATATAATTAATATATTGTATTAATAAAAGTGTTATATTTTTTTGTTCGCTATTTATTTTGGTGTTTATTTGTTAATTTGGGGGCTAAGGGGTCGTCAAGGGATTCAGACAATGTAGACTTTACGGGTAACTCAGCTCAGGGTAGGGGAGCCATTGCCCAGGATTAAAATATTGCCTTTAAAATTAACTTTCTCAATCTATTTAATTTGTGTTTTAAATATGATGTATAGATATAAATAATTATAAATAGATAAGCTAAAATAAATTAATTGTTTTGGCAAATGCTTTCTATGTAAATTAGAGGATTTATTAAATAAAAGTGTATTTATATTAACATAATACTTTAAAGTTGGTGTAGAGATAATACTGTACAGTAGTAATGAACTGTATAAATATAAATAATTCATACGAAATATTTATAAATAAATGATTAAATATTGAGATATCTGTGCGATTAATACCAATCAATATCAGAAAAAGCATGTGATATACCGATATTCAATATAAACAGACATTAGCCACCATTTCCACCGCACTGGCAGTACATACGAGTAAATTACTTCATAATATACACCAAAATAAATAGCGAACAAAAAAATATAACACTTTTATTAATACAATATATTAATTATATTATAATTAAAAATCAGAGCAACATT